TACATGTAGATGACATTTTTGCTGTGGGAGAGAGGGAGAGATGTAACAAGTTTGGCGCCGACCTTGACAAGTCCGTGCCAGTGAAGAACCTGGGAGAGTTGAGATGGTATTCTGGGTGCTTTTACGAGAGGAACAAGGAGACCGGTAGGTTGACGATTTCTCAGCAGACTTTCACGGATGAGCTAGCAGAAGAATATGGAGTAGTGGTAGGTAAGAGCGTTCCGATGTCTTCGGGGGTGAAGCTTTCTGATTTTGATGCGGATGAGGTGGCGACAGACTTTCCGTTTCGTGAGCTGGGAGGATCGTTGATGTGGCTGGCGACTCAGACTAGGCCAGACATTGCGAATGCAGAGGGCAGTCGCTAGGTATTGCGCATCTCCGAAGCTGGTACACTGGAATGCAGCGATGGATATTTTATGCTATGCGAGGAGGACGAGTCACTTTGGTATTTCGTTTCAGAGAGGTACGGTGGAGGGATTAAGCTTGCAGGGGTACGCTGATGCGGACTTTGCAAGCAAGGCAGCAGACTGTAGGTCGGTGGTATCAGGGGGGATCGTGACGTGTGGAGGAGGCGCTGTGTCGTGGTTTTCCAGAACGCAGAAGTGTGTCACGCTTTCGACCACCGAAGCAGAGTACGTCGCCCTAGGTGACGTAGTGAAGGAGATTTTGTTTTTGAGGCAGATTTGGCGTTTCATGTTGCCGCAGGTCGGCATGTCGTGCATTCCCATCTTCGAGGACAACCAGGGGGCGATTCAACTAGCGCAGAACCCCATCTCAAACTCGAACTCGAAGCACATGATAGATGTAAGGCACCATTTTCTCAGGGAACTGGTGGAGAGGAAGGAAATTTCGGTCATCCACGTGCCGTCACCGTACGAGCGTGCAGACTTTCTTAGGAAGAGTTTGTCGAAAGATGCTTTCGAATCTCACCGTGATTTTGTGATGAATTTGGCATGAACATTTTATTGCTTTTCTGATGGGTTGTGTTTTGGTCTTGTTCTGTTTCCCGTTTTGTTTCATTTCCCGCGCCAAGTATTTGTTAAGCGCGATGCAGCATTCATATTTCTTTGAATTGTTTTTCTCTCATATACTATTCTGGTCAAGTCTTCATGGTATATATTCTGGGAAAGACGTCTTTTGGTTGAGATATCTTCTTCTTCTTCTTCTTCTTCTTCTTCTTCTTCTTCTTCTTCTTCTTCTTCTTCCCTCTCTCTCCACCACCACCACCACCGTCTCTCTCCAATCAAGTTTCCTTCTCCCACTCTCGCTCCAACTCTCTCTCAACCTCTCCCTCTCGGCCTAACACGGCCGACTACCCAGTGCCCCAAAGCAACGTCCAGAACGTGCTTGCTGCACCCCACGTAGTTTGCCTTTCACCTGTGAAGGACCAGAAGAGGTGGTACAGTGTGGACGTCGTGGACGAGAACATAACGGAGGGTGGTGGATCAGGACGCACACAAGCTTGGTACTGCCAGGCCTGCGATCAAGCTCGAATCCGGGCCATCGGAGAAGCTACTCAAAAAAAGGTTGCGGCATCTAGCAACTCGGGCCGACCTAAAGCCGATGAACCGGCGCCGGAAAAGCCGTTCAGCCGGGTGCGCGCGTTGGTGATTAAAGCCGTAGCTCGCGGGGATATCCTTTACTGGGAGGATGTGTTCGACTGGCTCTCAGCTGAGCGCGCAAAGGATGGTGACCAAGAACTTGAGCGTAGGAGCGGGCGGAAGGCCGTGCGCCAGATGTTCGAGAGCATCGCGAGCGCTGATGGGAGCCAAGCGCAGGTGGTCAGCAGCGAGGGGGGCTTTGGAGACAAGTTATTCCGACAAATCATCAGGCGCGAAGCACACCAACAAAGCTCAAGGCCCAAACAGGTGGGCAAACGAAGAGGTCCCCGACGGATACAACGATGAACCGTTCTACAAGCCCAACGCTCACGGCGTGGATCTGCCGGTTTCAATCCACCAAGGTGTGAGGCAATCAAACTTGGAGGAGGGAACGTTGGGGGTGATCCACTACTTCGAACAAGAGTTGCGCTCGAAACGGCTGATGAACACCGACCTACTTGTCGTGTGCTGCGATCGCGCGGAACTTGTAACCGTTATCAAAGGGCAAGAACCGCTGGCGCGGACCGAGCAAGTGGGGGTGTGTACGCGGGACGTCGACCCGTCGTCAACGGAATCGATTCCTTCGTCACAGCTTCAGCCATGGCTCCGAGCCAATTCCAAGGAGGCGCGGGATGGTATCGCCGCGAATCTCGCCATGAACGTGCTGGCGGATAAAAATTGGGACGGAGACCAAAAGCCAACTGGGACCGTTGCGTTTTACGGTGTTGGAGGTGAGGTTGGACTGAGAGATGTGCAACAGTACAATGAGATGTCTGAGGCTTTCGGCGCCGACGGCGAGGCGGATGAGGGGGGGTGGTATGGCTCGGGGCCGGAACATCTCCTGCACTTCCGAAACGGGTCTACGTCAGGTACGGTTGTCCAGCGAGAGGGTGGACCGGACGTTGGCGAGGTTGAGCTTCCTGTCGCTCATTTTATCGTGTGGGCGGAGAAGTACTGGGGAAAGAAGTTNTTACGATGTTGGAGGTGAGGTTGGACTGAGAGATGTTCAACAGTACAATGAGATGTCTGAGGCTTTCGGCGCCGACGGCGAGGCGGATGAGGGGGGGTGGTATGGCTCGGGGCCGGAACATCTCCTGCACTTCCGAAACGGGTCTACGTCAGGTACGGTTGTCCAGCGAGAGGGTGGACCGGACGTTGGCGAGGTTGAGCTTCCTGTCGCTCATTTTATCGTGTGGGCGGAGAAGTACTGGGGAAAGAAGTTGGACAAGTGGCTCGTCACATCAGTCGACACGGACTTGTGGATTATCATCCTCTTGGCAATGAGCACCGGCAAAATCCTGCCTTATGGTATCGATAAGGTGGACGTTACCGTGCAGAGGATTGTTGGGGGAGCTGCGAAGTTCCTATGGGTCAACCGAGTATACAACAAAATCGCCGACCTCAAGGACGGGAGCGAATCTGCGTGGCCGGCGGCAGACTTCCAAGGCTGGACTCCCACTGCTGACGAGAAGGTCCGCCTTTTCGTTCTGATCTACCTTTTGGCGGGCTGCGACTTCCTCCCTGCCATTTCCGGCCTGCCGTTTTACAAAATGTGGATACTTGCTCTGAAAAGCGTGCGGGCTGAGGGCGTGTTCAACCATGCCCTATTCGTGATGGAGGATGGGGTGTGGACGGTGAACATAGAGCAGAGCATCAACCTTCTCGCGATCATTTTCTACTTCAGGTACGAGGCAGCATTTGCCGGTGTTGCGACCACTCCAGGCGATCTGCTCCGCAGCGTGAATGACAGCGTTAGGAACTACGTGGACCTCATCCGAGTGGCCATCGTCAAGCTTGGCAAGAAGTGGACGACAGACACCTGTCCGACTTATAGGTCGATGCGCGAGCAATGCCTGAGGATGAAGTCTGTCGACGGGTACTGGCAAGATGGATTCAAAGACCACATGCCAGAACGAGACTTCAACAGAAAGGGTTGGGGTATCGACCCCAAGGCGAAGGGCAGCAACGCGTCAGCACTCACAGGAGAGAATAGCGTTATGTGGATGTCGGAGCATTCTTACATCGGTCCCGATGGGAAGATGGTCACGATGACGTGCGGTTGCGACCCGGTGAAGGCCTTTAAGCATAACTGTAGGGGGTGCGGGTGCAAAGGGCGCAAGTGCTCCCTCGCTTGCGGCTGCAGGGGCCGTTGCCATTTGGCTCGCCAGCCTGTACCTGGTGCACCGACCGGCCAGGCCACGTACTCCGGTCCTGCCGGTGCTGCACACTCCGCAGTCGTTGCCAGCGCCATGACGGCTCTTCTGGCGTCCCGGAACGCTAGAACGGACGAGGAAGAGGAAGACCCGGACGATCCCGGTTCGGACGATGACGACACCGGCCTCGGACGATTTTCTGGAGCTGGAAGCGGAAGAGTCGGCTGACAGCGACTTAGACTCTGATGAGTCCGACCTTGGGTGGGGCGGTGTCGGTGGGGTCAATGCTCAGGACGATGCAAACTCTGAGGGCGAAGCATGGTTCTGACCGAGTCTCATCAGGTGTGCTTGGCCATCCTATCGCTGTTCATTTTTCTTCTTGTGTGGACATATGCGAGTATTGATGTCGCCTATATTTTGTTCGTCACCTAGTGATCATGTTGGTGTATCGCGCCGGTGCCATACGAGCCCACATAATGCGGTCTGCGTATCGTGTTTCAGGTAACAAACTTCCGCGAGATGATTTCGTCCAATGGCGGCTCCCCCGTTCGGCGTTGGTCAGGACTTACTGGCTTCGACCCCCAGCTTGGGTTTCGAGCATGTTTCCGGGTGTATCGGCTGCGGCAACAATGGCGCTGGCGCAGGGTTTAGGCAGTAGCACGGCGGGGTTTCGGGAGTATTGATTATGTCTCCCTGCGCTTATTGTTCCCCGCGTCCGGGAATGTAGCGATTCAAGTGGTTGTATTTTCTCAAGGTTACATGTGCTGTAGATGCAGTGTCGGATTCCTTTACTCGTCAAGTTTAAAGTTCTTGCGTTGGGCCTACGGTATCATCATGGAGTGCACAAAGATACACACACGGCAACCGACGTTGTTTTTGGAGCTTCACCCTCATTTTTTTTAGTGTATATTCTCTGCGTTAGTAGGTCCACCTGACGAATTATCTAACGTTCATGAAAGTTGTTAGCAAATCTCTTGTTCGTGNACTGCCTCGAGGGTGCTTGACCATTTCAACACAACGTGGTGCGATCATCCCCCTTGCGCGGAGTGAGGGTTCTCGACCCCACACAGCATGATCTACTCGACCACGATTATGGTTACCGCCAACAAAAAAACAGAGGTNGGGGGGGGGGGGGGGGGGGGGGGGGGGGGGGGGGGGGGGGGGGGGGGAGTCTGAATGGAAACACGCGAACTCACGTAGCGGTACTTTGAATAGCTATGTTGTGTTTCGGTCTGTTTCGTTCTTTAGACTACTTGTTTTCGAAAGACGCACGACGACACAACTCCATTAACCAGTCGGATTTCACCGGAGTACAAAAGGGATACATGCCCGTGTGGGCCCCAACGGGGCATCCTGACGGCCGCAGCTGCTGCTGCGTGCGTGTGCGCCGTATTGTCTTACGTGACTTTGTCTTTCGATGTGTGTGTGTATGGCGGCGCAACACTACAGGACACGTGCTGTAGGAGATAAAGTAACCGTTTTCAGTTCAAATCTGGACGCACGCCATTTGCAATTACTTCACCTGTAGACTACTGCGTGTTGCATCAAAGTTCAATTGCAGTAGAACCGCAAGCCTCACAGCAAGCCCATCCATCCTGTGTCTCATACCACGAGTAGCGCGTCCAAGGATATGCACGCTTGATCCGCGCAATACCTCATTTTCCAAGCGATAAGTACCTCTCTCGTCTGGGAAGCACTTCTGGACACAATACTCGATAAGTATATGTGTACTCCTCGTGTCATTGTTCGTATTGCTATTTGTGTCACGTTTCGTGTCGATCGGTTAGGAATTATTATAGGGCGCGTTCTCGTGTTAAGTTTGCCGCGCGTGCACACCACAGGAGGTTCGGCCGCAGCAGGGGCATGGATCACATTTTTTCGGCGAGTCTCGGAGCCTGCGCCGAGCAGTTCTCGCGCTATTGTCAACGAAATTCCGTGAAACCAGCTTTCCTGAATAGCTACTGGTCTATTTTAATGTACGACGACAAAGGTGGCAGTGCGGACGATCGCCAGTGGGCTAGCCAACTGCCATTTTTTGTGTTGAGTCGCTTCTTTTTTTTTTTATCAGGCGTGCAGTACTCTGTTGATCAGCTTTCCGTTAGCTTTCGTTTTGAGCACTACTTCAGCGTGCCGATCGGCGCACGCAGCCCCGAGCTACAGCAACGCGCCCACCAGCAGTCTCGATGCGGCGCATCTTCGCCCTCGTTGGCCTCCTGCTGCTAAGCATGGGTCGGTGTAGAGTGAGCGCGGAGGCTGCTGCGAAGGCCTGTGAAGCGGTCCGCAGCGGTAGCATGTCACGCAACGCTGCTGCTGCTGCTACCTACGGGGTCAACAAGACGTCGCTCTCGCGGCGGCTGATCGGTGAGTGTGCGATGGACGCGCGGGTGGGCCCCGGGACTGTCATGACCGCAGCAGAGGAGGATGCGCTTGAAGATGTTCTGCTGTACGCTGGTCGGAATATTCCGCTCACCACCGCAGACCTCACGGAGCGTGTGAGACAGCTCTGCAACGACGGTCGACCGATCCCATGGACCCCTGACAAGGGCCCAGGGAGGAGCTGGCTTGAGGGCTTCCTCGGACGGCACGAGCGCATCAGCCTTCGACTCGCCCGCATCTACGAGTCCAAGAGGGTGACCTCCGCGGAAGATGAACGTCTGCACAAGTTCTACGACTTCTGGGGCTAGTTCCTCGACGAGCACCACCCGGCGGCCGACCGTGTCTGGAACACGGACGAGTCAGGTGAGCAACACAGGGTAGTGGTGTTTAGCTGCTGTGTGACGGGTTGTGAGCTTGTTTCTACATTTGAGCTGCTGTGCACGACGTGAAAAATAGGCAGAGGTCTGCGGCTGCTGTAATAAAACATCGAGTTTTCCCGCAGCGCGTGGTCTCCGCAGAGGACCACTGCTACATTAACCCGCAATAATTAATTGCTGTCGTGTACACTGGCTCGGCTTTCCTTGTTTTCCCAGCAACCACCGTGTTTACTTGTGAGCAAAAACAGAATAACAATTATTGGAGAAAAACCAAAGCCGAACGAATTGACGCCTTCCGGTTCTTCAGTATTACGAGAGACCACCATAAATGTCGGAGTTTCCCCCCCTAGTAGAGGAAAATCCCCCATTGCCTTGTGGGCCTGGAAGCATGGTTTCTTTGATTCAGCTCCGGCGTAGATTATTTTCGACCAAAAAAAACTCCCCCAGGGTATTTCAATTTCCCCCCGGGGTTTTCCTAAGAATTTCCCCCGGGGGGAATGTAAAGTAAATGTGCCAATGAAGGACCACCTAAGCCCCCCCCCACTCAGGCAGCTCGTTCTCTGGCGTAACGATGATTTATGAAGAGGTTGGGGTATCGGATGATCGCTTAGAGCACACCCCCACCAGCCCAAAAAGTGTTTTTTGAGAAAAAGTTAAGTGGCGATGAACTATAGCCCTCGAACTGTACACCTCATTTTCCATAAAAAAATGCGGGAAAAATGACGGTGCCTCTGTTAGGGACCACTTTTGGGTAGTGGCCGACTACGCAGATTCTAAATCGCTTCAAGACCTGAAATTTGGCACACGAGCTGGTAATGTAATGTAGAATCCATTAAAACAAACAAAAAATCGGTCCACATCCGGGGACAAAACGCCTGTATCCCCGGTTTTTCGGCTCCATTACCGGGGGCGGAATATTCCCCTTTTGGGGGATAACGCGCGTTATTTTGCCATGAAACGCTTCAACCGTCGTATTCTGATGCACGAACGACTCGTGCGCATCCTATTCGAAGTCACAAAAAAAAAATTTACTACAAACGAGAGCTACACGTTGCTTCAAGAGCAGTTTCGCATGCTGATACACATGATTTTTGGGCAGCACACACACGGAATTGATTTGTGGGAAGGAGAAGCTTGTCGCGTTGCTGCTGCTGCTGCTGCTGCTGCTGCTGCTGCTGCTGCTGCTGCTGCTGCTGCTGCTGCTGCTGCTGCTGCTGCTGCTGCTGCTGCTGCTACACTATTTACTGATAGCAGTGGCCCCTGTGTGGACTTTTTTTTCTCGAGGCTCAAGATGAGAAGGCTGTATTCTAGACTTATATATTCGATAAAAGTAGACCATCTGACCAGTCAACGTTGACTGGTCAGATGGTCTAATTTTATCTAATAAAAGATATGCTCAGAGCTCGTTTGCACCCGGCTGGAACACTTGGGGTTGGCTTTTTGGCTTTCATCACTGGGATTGAGAGTAGGGATCTCCGGGGACGGACCCCTCGCCAGACGTCGCTGTTTTACAATGGTGACATAATTTTATGCGAAGAAAGTGTTCCAGCCGGTATTCGAACTCGTGCGGGTATCCTTTATT